CCGATTTAGGGACAGGGGCCATGTTAGGGGCAGGACTTCAGTGCACCGCTGTGGGCAGTGGCTTTGGTTTCCATGGCTGCGTAGTCTAACTGTGCAGGGGGGGCCAAAGAAGGTGGGGGGGGCGGGGCTTTTTCCGTTGTGGCGCATTTAAGTACTGTCAGGTCCTCTGAGGGTTCATCTGCTCAGACATTTATTTAGATAAAAATCCAATCCAATCTGCGGCTTTGTAAAGCCGGAGGCTTTCCCTCTCAAAGAGGAGGAGCCATCAAGGGTCAGAGAGACGGCGGGGGGGCGCTCCCAGTTCTCTCAGCGGGTGTGTTGTGCCTTGAAACCTTTTTTTCTTCGAGAAATTGATCTAAAAAGCGGATGCACTGACAGTGTTGAGAACTTGAGATTGAATGGTGCTACTTGATTTAGGCGTGTAGGCCCTTGTACGTTGTGCCCATCGAGTTTTACAAAAGTTGTTTTATTGCACATCTAGAGTTTTATATAGATGTCTTGGATATGTGTCCTTAAGCTTCCAAATATTGTGTGTGAGGAGATTGTGGAAAAACGCAGCTTGTTTACAAAGGGGAAGGGTTCTCAACGTCAAAAGAAAAAAAAAAACAGGATTTATTTGGGACCAGGGGATTTAGCAGTCGGGGGGAATTTAGCCATTTGCACAGATTTCTAGATTCTACTTTTGCTGCTAGTTTTGTGTAATTTATTAAGCATTTTTGACAAATATTTATTTTTGTAAGCCTCAAAGTGATTCTTTGAAAGTTTCAGAAACTTGACCAAAAGACAGTACAAAAAACACTGGCACTTGAATGTTGAATGTCACCTGTATGCGTGAAATTTATATATTTCGGGGTAGTGTGAGCTTTTTAATGTTTAAGATACATTGGACTCGATTGAAAAAAAAATATATATATAAAAAATATCCACAGCTGTTTCAGGGCCTCCTCATGGCCAGTCATCTCTATTAGAGCTTTCCAATTGGTCATCAAAATTTGAAGTGGAATTGAACAAACATGCCAAGGTTTGGAACAAAACTGTCAAAAGAGCAAATTTCCTAAGCATATCAGTGCAGAAGTGTTCAGATTCTCCAACTGTGTGCGTCATTGGTTCTTTAGTCTAATTTGACCTAATAATTGTTTTTCTCCAGTCAATGTCTGGCACATGGCAATCCTTAAAGAAACAAACATGTGGTTTATTCTCATTGTTGCATTTGCATACACGATGCCTCTTGAGTTCTCCTGGAGACTGGAGCAGGTTTATTTTTCAAACAGCCGTTTGGAAAGAAATAAAAAATAAAAAAAAAGTTAAAAAAAAAATAATAAAATGGAGGTTCTGCAGTTGCCGGCAGAATCCCAGACTTGCTCCATGACCTCTGGAGAACCCCAGAGCTCTTTAGATGTAGACTTTGCTTTTCTGTATTAGCTTCTAGGCTACTGCACCGCATGGGGAAATGCTCAGCTGTGCAAAAAGTTGTATGATTTTACCAAAAATAAAATGTTTGAATGCAAAAAAAACAACTCTTCTGGGGGGGGGATTGGAGCATGTTTCACGTGTTTACTGTTGACGTGCGGAGAAGACCTGTAGCAACGGCTCGCTGCCTGTGTGGACGCGGGCGCCATGGGTTTCAACAGGCTTTGTTTTTTGAAGAGGAAAAGTGCATAAAGATTTCATTTGTAAAATCCAACTGTCGTGTGTGTTTTTTCCAGTCTGATCTGTACCAACTCTGAGACGCCTTTGAGCCATAACGGGAAACCAAAACCTTTTTTTTTTTTTTCTTCTCACATTTTAGTTTTTCATCGAACTTAAACCTTCTAAAGTCTTAATTTTGACTTTGAACAGATTCAAGTCAAGTTTTTAAAAGGAGCTGAACGCTTTAAAGCTAAAGGAAACTATAAATCCACACAACTGCAGCCAGCTATCTTGTTATATTTTTTAATTGGCACAAATATTCACGTTTGCATGTCTAAAATATTTAAAAAACCTAAACTAGACAAAATAACAATCTTAATATGTAGGCTGATTTTAAATGATGGTAACCACTTTGTAAGGGTAAACCCTTTTTCTAGTTTTAAAAATATATACATTTGTTTTTATTTACCTGGATATGCGTTCATTTATTTGACATGAGTCTGTATTGAGTTACAAACGACTCATTTAATTTTAGATGAGCTGAAAACCGAATCTGGAAATCTTTTAGCAGCGTGTCCAAATACCCAAAAAAGACCAAAAAACCAGAGGTCAGCATGTCGGCTTTATTTGAATTGGGAGTCCGGTCTTTAACCAGATTTATCTCATTCTGAAATGGCCTCAGCTCTCTGAGTATCAGATCCGGGTCTTGTGTTTGTTTGACCCACATCTGGAGCCTGGACGCCGGCCTGGTCTCTCCACTGAGGCCAGATGTTCCGGAGAAGCGCGCCCCCCTCCTTTTTTGTAAACCCCCCCCCCCCCCCCGACCTTTGTCCCGTTTCTCCACAGATGGTCTCTACTTTGGACATCTGTGAGTGCTTTTTAGGCAAAAAAAATAGTGGCGAATTAAGGGTTTTACAGTCATGAAAACTGGGTTTTGGCCCAGATTTTTGGGACCATTTTCTCACCCACTTCTCTCCAGAGGGCACGCGCCGGCCTCCAGCTTTCGTAACCAACCAGCAGCCCTCATTAAAACCACGTTGTGTAATTTCTGTGTCAGGCTGTGAGAAAAAAGGTTTCGGGGCCCTTAAACTCTGACGATAAACTGTTGTGGGGCGTGCGTAAAAAAAAACAAAAAAACGGAGGTTCGTCCGTATAAAAGTAATCTTATTTCACAAATTGCATTGATCGCCTCTTTTCCCCCAGATCCCGCCGCTGATCCCCTAATCCTGGCCAACATTTGTACTCCTCCTGACAAGTCATACGTCCAACTTGAAGCGCCGTCCGCGTGCTGGTGGCGCGCGTAATCTGTGCGTCCGTGTGGCACTCGGAGCCCGGTTTTACTTGCGTAATCCTCCCCCCCCTCCACACCCCCCCGTTCTCCATCCGCATCCCTCCATCCAGAGGGATTTGCCTGCCATTAAGAGATGGCTTTTTGGCTTGTTGGTGTGTCTCGGCGCGCGCACACACACGCGCGGGAGGCTGGAGCTTGGAGGGGCGCAGGCTGGCGCGGTTTTAAGCCGGAGGGACAGCCACGGGCTCCAAGCTTTTCTCCTCTCGTCGGGACACGGACATGGGGGGGGAATGTGGACCGGGACGGGCGCTCTTTTGGATGAATAGATGAACGGATGGTGTCCCCCCAACACACATGGACGCAGCTGTCCGGATAGAACCTCAGGTACGCCTCCTCTTCATCTTCCTCCCTTCTGGAAAAGTTTGAGAACAGAAACTGGAAGTGGCAGCTCCAGATGCGCACCCAGAGGTGGTCACGCTTCCCGGTCCCTCTGGGAAACGGTTGGATCGTGTAAATGATACCTGGCGCTTTATCATTAAGTTTTTCCGTGCTCTTTTTGTGTGTGTGTGTGTTTTATTTCAGACCTGCGTTAATCCTGGCATGTCCCAGATGAGAGACTGCAGAAATGACTGTCATCACCTTCGCTGGTCAGTGTCCATCCTCCTCTTCTAAGCTACTTTTTACGCATTCTCTCCAGAAATAAGTTCTTTTTTGTTGTTTTTTTTTACCCACAATTCGATGAAAGATCACAGAAATCTAGGACCCACTCCTCAATACAAAGACAAAAAGACATTTTAGGCCCCACCAGGAGCCCCTCCTCCACAGAGAGGTGATTTAGAAGCTCTAAATTGGGCTGAAGGGAACCGGCCTGATGTTCCCCTCAAAGACAAAAGCTGTTTAACCTCTGATGTAATCTGCTCTTTCCCAATCACATCATTGTTTCACTGGAATCCGGCAGAAAGGCCGTTTAACCTTACTTAACCACTTATTTTGTCTGCGTTTTGTTTTTAAATATCTATCAGGAAGATTTTTAGGTCTAATTTGATGCTTTAGTCGTGGCAAATTCCCATTTTAAAGGCACTCCAGGTAACATGACGGACAGATGCACCGGACATGGTTTGATTAGTCAAGGAGGAATTACTCAGTGTATGTGGATCTATCCGGGTCTAGATTACTCGAAGTACTTTTTGGGATGTTTGCCGTCACTGATAGTCGTGCATTTAAAGGAAAACCCTCAGGACGCATGCACACGGGCTGAAACTCATCACAGAGAGAGTCAGGCAGAAACAATCCAGAGCTAACAAGCCGCTCCAGCAAAAGGCCGCCGGAAAAATGCTGGAAAAAAGGTTAGAAAAAGGCCCAAAGCTTTGATTTAGACCCACAGAGATAATGTAGAAGAAGCTGACGCCACAAAGCAGAGCTGAATCTGATCTGAACAATCAGGGGAAAAGTGTAGAATCACACAAACACACACACAAACACACACACAGAGACTATAAGAGGAATAAATGGGCAATATTCTAATTCAAGCCGGTTGCTTTTATGGTTGTTCGGGGCAAAAGTGAAACTTTAAGGAGGATGTGGGTCATATTCAGAAAGAAATCTAACAAATGGAAACGCTCCCCCACTTTTTCGGCTCTTGGCCTGTGTTTCCTCCTCCTAAAGTAAACTACCGTCTCCTGCTCTTCAGTAGCTGCTGACGCGTTCGAGTGTTTTTTTATTTTTTTTCCGGTTAGAACGACACACATCTGTGTAAACTTTCCTGTTTCTCTTAACCTGAAATTTAAGACCAGCACAAACGTCAGCGGTGATGAATTTAACCGGCCTCGGGTGATCCTCTCGTTTCCTCCTTTTGAATTCATAAAAGGAAATGAATTCGTGAGTGTATTATTTACTGATGTAAGGAGATCATTGAAGCTTTTACTCTCTACATTCCTGGATCCAGTTTTTGGAGTAGCCTCTTGGTTGGATATCCAACCCATATCTAAGTCAGCCATTTTGATTAGGTCATGTGACTAGCAGCTTTCTGAGGTGGAAACGAAACTTTACTGTCTATACGAAATCGGAAAACAAACGATGTCCTAAACCTAACCCTGACGCTGACCTTAACTATTTTTAAATTAATGTCTATATTGCCATGAAGCAATTATGATTTTCTTGCCTGGGATCTTCCTATTGGTGACGTAATCAAAATGGCAGACTTGGATGTGGGCGGAGTTGGATATCCATCCTTGGCTCCCTACAGTCGGCAGCCAGATGTAATTGAGTTTTTGGGCCTTCACACAAAAACCTGAAAACTTGTAAATTCTTTGGTAAGAACGCCTGCTCCACTCGGCTCACGTCCGGCCGTCCCTCCTGTCCTCTGTCCAGTCTCTGTGCTCTGCCTGCTGCCCCAGGCGGCGTCGGGCCGGTGGGCTTGCGTCCGGGCCTGCCCGCCGTCCTGCACGTGCACCCAGGAGAGGAGCTGCAGCGTGCTCTGCGATCGCTCGGCCCTGGCCGAGCTGCCCAGAGAGTTCCCGTGCGAGGCCTCCGCCATCAACCTGGAGAAGAACCGGCTCAAGTTCCTGTCTGAGCGGGCCTTCGGCACCCTGCCCTCCCTCAAGTCCCTCTCTTTGGATCACAACAACATCTCCTTCATCACCCCGGGAGCCTTCAAGGTTTGCTCGCAAACAGCTCCTACACATTTAGGACATTCTTGTTAGCACCATCGCCTCACAGCAAGTAGGAACTGGGTTCAAGTCTCCGGGGGAACCAAGACCTTTCTGGGTGGAGTCTGCATGTTCTCACTGTGTCTGCTTTCTCTCCGGGTTCTCTGGCGTCCTCCCACCGTCCAAAAACCTGCATGTTAGGTTGATTGGACATTCCAAATTCACCTTAGGAGTGAGTGTGTGTGGTTGTGTGTCTCTGTGTGGCCCTGCGATGGACTGGCAGACTGTCCAGGGTGTACCCTGCCTCTTGCCCATTGACCACTGGGATAGGCTCCAGTACCCCCGCAACCCCATTAGGGAATAAGCGGTCACGATAATGAATGGATTGATAGATGATAAAGGTGTTGCATCGAACGTAATTTGCATAATTTCACATAGTTTTTGCTCTGAAATGTAACGTTGAAGTTGGAGACATACCGACCAGCGTCCGTCCTTCTCACAAAACGGCCGAACCTCTCTCCCGCAGGGCCTCTCCAACCTGGTGGAGCTGAGGATGGCGCACAACGACTACATCAGCTACCTCCACACGCGCACCTTCTCCGGGCTGAAGAAGCTGGTGCGGCTGGACCTGTCGGACTGCAACCTCTTCAACATCCCCGACCGCATCTTCATCGAGCAGCCCGCGCTCAGGGAGCTGCTGTGCTTCCAGAACAACTTCCGGAGGATCCCCGGAGCCATCCGAGGCATGGAGAACCTGACGCACATCTACCTGGAGAGGAACAAGATAGAGGCCGTGGCCTACAACTCCCTGCTGGGCCTGGATCGTCTCAAGTAGGTCCACGACTCGCGTAAGGGGCGCAATGATAAGGTTTCAGGGGCTTGAGGAACTCCCTGAACGTACTGTGTAATTTGCCTCTCTAGGAGTGTTCTCCAAAGCCAAGAGTTGACTTTTTCTAGCCATAAAAGCGGAGGTCTGACATATTCTGTTTTTATTTAATCAATTTTTTGAACGATTCATGGCCGTTAGAGCTGAGTTACGATTAAACCGGCGATCATTTAGATCTTTAAGTTCAGCTACCCGCCGGAGGTAGCGAGCCTCGGTCCAGAAATCAAGACGATCTCCTTCCGTCTGTCAGGTACCTGGACCTCCAGGGGAACCGCATCAACGTGATCCACGACAACGCCTTCCAGGACCTGGTCCGGCTGGAGAACTTCTACCTCAACGACAACCTGCTGTCCACCCTGCCCCGGTTCGCCTTCCGGGGCCTCAGCCGCCTCAAGATGCTCAACCTCGGGGGCAACCAGCTGATCAACGTCTCCCGCACCTGGTTCAGCGACCTGGTGGAGCTGGAGGTCCTCTACCTGGACCGGAACCAGCTGCTGCACATCGAGGACGGCGCCTTCGAGAACCTGACCAGTCTGATCACGCTGCACCTGAACAGCAACAACCTGACCGCCCTGCCCCTCAGCGTCTTCCAGCCCGTCTACTTCCTGGGCCACCTGTACCTCTTCCGGAACCCCTGGGAGTGCGACTGCTCCCTGGAGTGGCTGAAGCTGTGGATGGACAGCTACAAGCTGGTGCGCGACATCCCCTGCGCCGCGCCCTCCTCGGTGGCCGGCCTGGACCTGAGCCAGGTGGTTTTCAGCAGCCTCAACGGCTCCTGCGTGGACCCGTCCGAGCTCAACCTGACCACCGCCTCCTCCGAGGTGGCGGCCACCACCGAGGACCGCTTCAACAGCCTCATCTCCAAGCTGCTCCAGCAGGAGCTAAGGGAGGAGATGGGGAACGGGACCGAGAGCCTTCGCAACGGGACGCTGTCGGACGAGGAGGGGCAGCTGTCCGCGGGGGCCCGGCCCGCCCCGACCGGCCAATCCCTGCTGGCCCTGGCGGTGGGGTGGCTCCTCTTTGGTTCGTTAGGCCCGCCGGACGCTCACTCCTGTCTTCGCTACACATGAGGGGGCGGCGTTTTGAGTTTCTCAAGAAATAAAAGCCATTTGTGACGCGTCCACAGAAAATAAAAAAGAAAGAAAGAAATGCTGGTTACTCCCGCGAGGCTTTGAGGGCCAGCGTATAGGAGGTGGATGCTGATTTGGGAGCAGAGAAAGAAACGGCATGGTTTTGAGCATCGTTTATTTCCATGTGAGCTGTTTATTTGCAATTATATCTGCCGTTTGTAAAAGAAATGGAAAAACATGGCCGGTTCCTGAAGGAGCCAAACCTGCATGGCTGTGGGATTTACTCCTACGATGGCACTGACGGATGGATGAAAATGTACATTGAGAAAGCCATTTTTTTGTTGCATAATGCTCAATTATCATTAATATTATGTAATATTTATAGCATAACAGTATATTGAGAGTGCTTTTTTTTTGTGTGCGTGTTTTCATTCACAGCTGTGTGTAAAGTTTAAGGAGATAAGAGCTCCTGTAGTTATCTCCTAAACAGATGTCCTCTCTGCTTATTTCTATTCATTCTGCTCTAAATGTAGGCTCTGAGGCTTTCCCATAAATGCATTAATCTTCTTACTGCTTGCAGCTCGATGTCGAGGCTGCTTGTGTTAGCTAGGGCACGAAGGAGGGACTTTCTTCTTGCTTTTTGCCTCCCTTGGACGGACCGCTGTGGAGCGCATCGGGCCGAGGAACTGTGTCGGGACGAGTTTTACGCCAGCTACCCGGGGGAACCAGTAGTGTGGCGATTCAGTCAGTTTTGCAGTTCGTTGGTCGTTTTCTTTGTCAAATGGGGTATTTTTTTTCTAAATAAAAGCGTTTCAAACCCTGGATGTGCCTGCTCAGTGACTCCTTTCAGTCTGGGTTGAGGAGCTGACCCGTTTCAGAGGTGAACTCCAGTTAATCTGCCCGCCAGCCTGTTGGCTCGCTAATGTGGGATTAGGCTGGGACTTAGACAACTGGGGAGACTGGATGCTCCACCTCGGTTCAGTCTCTCCTCCACCAGCGCTGGCAGCTGTTTTGCTTCTCCACCTGTGCTGCTGCTGAAAGGTGTGGACATCTTGCATCTGGAGACGATGTTCAAATCCAAAGCAAACAGAAACATTCGTAGACAGAAAAGTAAACGTCATATTTTCTCTGTCTGATCTAGTTGAGTGCTTTGGTTACGTCAGCATTTACTTGAATGAACTAATGGAGCTCTCTCTCTTTGTTTTGCTGCTGTTGTAACAGTTTTCTTTCATCACCATGACCGTAGAGTTGTCTGTGAGCTGTCTTTGGGTAAATGTGCTGTGAAAAAAAGGACCTTTCACTAAAGAGAGACTGAGGAAAACTCACTTTTTCTGATCGTTTAAATTAACGTGGAACTAAAAGCAGGTTGAGTTAGTGTCTGCAATTAGTTCCAACCTCCATGTTTAATAGTTTAAACATCTGTCGGTCTTTGCTCTGTCAGTATCTTTGCTCTTCCTAGGACAGCCCACTTCCTAACGGAGATCCCAGATGTCTTTCCGAGTTTCTCGTGTTCCCTATCATGTTGTTACCACTTGGCATATCCACATCTATCACTCCGGCTTTCTCCTTCTGCTGGTCCACCTCTGCTATGTCCAGTAGATTAGCTAGCTATCACCAGTTTGTCTGTCTGGTGATAGATAGCTGACGTACCTTCTTGGGGTGGACAATTCCAGGCATTCCGGGATCGGTGCGTGAGGCATCAAGTCCCAGCCCGTCTTGCAGTCCATCCAGGCAGAGCAGGGGTCAGGCGGTCTGGTCTTACAGTCTCATGTGACTACCCTATCCACCAGGAGCTGGTGTTTCACCCCTCTGGAGTTGCTGCCAATTCCTAGGGACTTGAGACTCTGTCTTGCCTATGGGAACCTGCTCTGTTAGTTAGCTCTTTTAGCTAGGTGTTGCATCCTGCTCCCGTATGCTATTCTTGGTGGGGCTGTTCTCATGTTGCTCCCCCTGGACGGTTCAGTGAAGCACATCTGGTCATTTCCTTATTCCCTGTATTCAGCTCATACCTGGATCTTCTTGGCCTTTAGTCTCCTGATCGTAACCCCCCCAATGAATCCCATTTAATCGTTTTCGACTTCTTTCGTTCTCATTTCTTGTCCACTCATGTCCATTACTGGATAAGTGCCCGGGATTTGAACCTATGACCTACTGTTCCAAAAACAGCATTGCTACCACTATATTTAAATATATTCATAACATTATAACATTACTGTCTTTGGAACAGTAGGTTAGAGCATTTCTTTAGCATTTTCTCAAAACTTGATGGCAACATGGGCCTGCTTGCATAATTTCCATCCATTTACAGTCCGACATCTCGGAGAAGTCCCCGTTTGACAGAAAACAGAACACAGCTGCCACCCCCCCACCCCCCCCTTCATATTCATAGTGTGGGATTATGTAGTAGCAGTAAAAGGCAGTGTTCAGCCTCTGCTTCAGTCTAATCACTCACTTTGATTGAAATCCCAAAATGCGGAGCTCCAGAGAGATGAGCCGAGTGCGCAGTCACCTGAAATATGTCGGCCACCGGACTGGGTCGCAGGCTGGAACCCGATTTTATTTAGCAGGCGTGGAGCTCGTTATGAATTAGACTGAAATACACACAAACCAAATGATGTGAAACTAATTCAGTTACTAAGAATTAATCATCCTCTTTGGTCTGGTGGCTTTCTCAGACTTTGGAAAATGTGTTTTTGTCTGCAAACACATTAACCGTCCAACAGGGTTAGCTGGATTGACCTCTTGAATATATTTTTAAGTAAGTTTGAGGAATCATTTCTGTCTAACACAGTAATCAGAAGTAAAGCAATCTGAGTAAAGTGTACAAGAGCAGTCTGCGTTTTTGCATGGGTTTGACATGGGAAAACAGTTTTGATTCATGGCATTAATGCCTACAGTTAATATACAAAACAGCAAAACGTTTCACTTTCTTACTGCGTAGAAAACATTCGAAGCCTTCAGCACTTATTTCTCCCGGAGACGATAAAAGCAGGGCTTCCCTGGATTGTGAGATGATGCGTCACTGCTGGAGGAAAAAACAACAAAGAGCCACTCCAGGGTATGTTTTCCAACACATATAAGGAAATATATTTAAAAAAAACTGTTCATATCATTTACACAAGGGGCAGTTGTTTCAGTCTTTACATGGCGTGGTTCAGTTGCACACACTGCGTCCCCCCTCCCCTGTGCACTCCCCCCGGTGCACAGACAGTCACAGATTTAAAAAATAAGCATTTCATTTCTTGGTTTTTAAACTAGATTTCAACACTAGTACGTCTGGACGTCATATTAGTTTTTTTCTTTTCTGAGTATGACAAATAAAAAAGAAGGGGAAATAAAAAAAAAACAAAAAAATCAAGACTTTTATTTGTATTTTTTGGATTACAAACACATCTCACTCACATGGTCGACCTTTTTCTAGAAATCTATGGTTGAGAGATGCCACCTGGAACTCAGGGGATGTGCTCAGGAGGAGTCAGCGTCCAGCTCCG